AAATATGAGAATTTTAAAAAGTCAACCTTTATTAAGTTTATTAAATAAATATATAATAGATGCACCTACTCCTGCCAACATTAGTTACTTATGAAACTTTGGATCTTTATTAGGTTTATGTTTAGGTATACAAATAATAACAGGTGTTACATTAGCTATGCATTACACACCTAGTGTAGCAGAAGCTTTCAACTCTGTAGAACATATAATGAGAGATGTTAATAATGGATGATTAGTACGTTATTTACACTCTAATACAGCCTCAGCTTTCTTTTTCCTAGTATATTTACACGTAGGTAGAGGATTATACTATGGATCTTATAAAGCACCTAGAACAATAACATGAATAATAGGTACAATTATTTTAATTGTTATGATGGGTACAGCTTTCTTAGGTTATGTATTACCTTATGGTCAAATGAGTTTATGAGGTGCTACAGTTATTACTAATATGATGAGTGCTATACCTTGAATAGGTCAAGATATTGTAGAGTTCCTTTGAGGAGGTTTTTCTGTTAATAATGCAACATTAAATAGATTCTTTGCATTACATTTCTTATTACCTTTTGTATTAGTAGCATTAGTAGTAATGCATTTAATATCATATCATGAAGTAGTAGGTTCAGGGAACCCTTTAGGTATTTCAGCTAATTATGATAGATTACCTTTTGCTCCTTATTTTGTGTTTAAAGATTTAATTACTATCTTTTTATTCTTTATAGTATTATCTGTATTTGTTTTCTTTATGCCTAATGTATTAGGTGATAGTGAAAATTATATTATGGCTAACCCTATGCAAACTCCACCGGCTATTGTACCTGAATGATACTTATTAGCTTTCTATGCTATTTTAAGATCTATACCTAATAAATTATTAGGTGTTATTGCTATGTTTGGTGCTATTGTGTCAATTATGGCTATGCCTATTACAGATTTATCTAAATTAAGAGGAGTACAATTTAGACCTTTAAGTAAAATAGCATTCTTTATTTTTGTTGCTAATTTCTTAGTATTAATGCAAATTGGTGCAAAACACGTTGAAACTCCATTTATTGAAATTGGACAAATTTCAACTGTATTATATTTCTCACATTTCTTTATTATAGTACCTGTAGTTAGTCTTATTGAAAATAGTTTAATTGAATTAGCTACTAAAAAATAAATATAATATCTTATTATATTGGTATAGGAGCTTGAGCAGAGGGTTCTGCGTTTCGACTGCAAATCGAAATAAAGGGATTCGAGTTCCCCGAGCTCCTTGGTATACTATATAATTATGTTATATTATAGTATACCTAATTATATATTGTTTTTTACAATATATGAATCAATAGTATACTTAATTATATATTGTTTACAATATATGAATAAATAGTATACTTAATTATTC